TGTGGTGTGTGGGGTTTGTGTGTGTGTGTGTGTGTGTGTGTGTGTGTGTGTGTGTTTTGTGTGTGTGTGTGGGGTATGTGTGTGTGTGTGTGTGGGGTTGTGTGTGTATGTGTGTATGTGTGTGGTGTGTGTTTTGTGTGTGTGTGTGTGTGTGTGTGTACTCACCTATTTGTGGTTGCAGGGGTTGAGTCTTAGCTCCTGGCCCCCCCTCTTCACCGGTTGCTACTGGGTCCTCTCTCTCCCCGCTCCATGAGCTTTATCAAACCTCGTCTTAAAACTGTGTATGGTTCCCGCCTCCACTACGTCACTTTCTAGGCTATTCCACTGTCTGACAACTCTATGACTGAAAAAATACTTCCTAATATCTCTCTGACTCATCTGTGTCTTCAACTTCCAATTGGACCTCTTGTTTCTGTGTCCCCCCCCCTGGAACATCCTGTCTTTGTCCACCTTGTCTATTCCGCGCAGTATTTTATATGTTGTTATCTTGTCTCCCCTGACCCTCCTGTCCTCCAGTGTCGTCAGGCCGATTTCCCTTAACCTTTCTTCATAGGACATTCCCCTTAGCTCAACTAACCTTGTCGCAAACCTTTGCACTTTCTCTAGTTTCTTCACGTGCTTTATCAAGTGCGGGTTCCAAACAGGTGCTGCATACTCCAGTATGGGTCTAAAAGTACACGGTGTACAGTGTCTTGAACGATTCCTTCTAAGGTATCGGAACGCTGTTCTCAGGTTTGCCCGGCGCCCATATGCTGCAGCAGTTATCTGGTTGATGTGTGCTTCCGGAGACGTGCTCGGTGTTATACTCACCCCAAGATCTTTCTCCTTGAGCGAGGTTTGCAGTCTTTGGTCACCTAGTCTATACTCTGTCTGCGGTCTTCTGTGCCCTTCCCCTATCTTCATGACTTTGCATTTGGCGGGATTAAATTCGAGGAAAACCAGTTGCTGGACCAGGTGTCCAGGGTGTGTGGGGTGTGTGTGTGTGTGTGGTGTGTGTGTGTGTGTGTGTGTGTGTGTGTGTGTGTGTGTGGTGTGTTGTGAGTGTGTGTGAGAGAGAGAGGGAGAGACTGTACATAAAATTAAATTTCAACGTCCTCCTAACAAAAATAAAAGATATTAAAAAAATGCACCGTGTTTTAACTCTTCCAGCTTGTGGTCGTAATAAAAAGATTTTATTTACATTCCTAATAAACCCGAATATAAATTAAACAATAGTTTTAAATATCCAAGGATAACTATGTTAAATGTGCATTGTTTACACAACAGAAAACGGAATTTATATTAAGAGAAAATGTGGCGCAGTTTAGGGAATTTACGGAATAATCATGTAATGGTGGTAGTTGTGATGATGGTAGTTGTGGTGATGGTAGTTGCTGTTTTGTGGTGATGATGGTAGTTTTGGTGATGGTAATTGTTCTGGTGACAGTGTTACTTGTGATGGTAGTTGTAGTGGTAGTTATGGTACCTGGAGTTTACCTGGAGGGTTTCGGGGTCAACGCCCCCGCGGCCCGGTCTGGGACCAGGCCTCGTGGTGGATCAGGGTCTGATCAACCAGGCTGTTACTGTTGGCCACACACAAACTGACGTACGAACCACAGTCCGGCTGGTCAGGTACTGATTTTAGGTGCCTGTCCAGTGCCTTCTTGAAGACAGTCAGGGGTCTATTAGTAATCCCCCTTATGTATGCCGGGAGGCAGTTGAACAGTCTTGGGCCCCTGACACTTATTCTGCTGTCTCTCAGTGTACTCGTGGTGCCCCTGCTTTTCATTGGGGGGATGTTGCATCTCCTGCCGAGTCTTTTGCTTTCATAGGGAGTGATTTTCGTGTGCAAGTTTGGTACTAATCCCTCTAGGATTTTCCAAGTGTATAATATCATTCATCTTGCCTGCATTCCATGGAATACAAATCAAAGGCCTTCAACTGTTCCCAGTAATTTAGGTGCTTGATCATACTTACGTGTGCCATGAAAGTTATTTGTACATTCTCCAGGTCAGCAATTTCGCCTGCCTTGAAGGGGGCAGTTAGTGTGCAGCAGTATTCCAGCCTAGAGAGTACAAACGATTTGAAGAGAATCATGGGCTTGGCGTCCCTAGTTTTGAAAGTTCTCATTATCCATCCTATCATTTTCCTAGCAGATGTGGTAGATACATTATTGTGGTCTTTGAGGCGAGATCCTCTGACATTATCACTCCCAGGTCCTTCACATTACTTGTTTGCTCTATTGTATGGTTAGAATTTGCCGTATACCCTGATAATTTTAATTTCCTCAATTATTATTATTATTATAATCAAGGGGAAGCGCTAAACCCGGAGGATTATACAGCACCTAGGGGGGGGGGATGTGGAAGGCATTCAGGCTTAATTCGGGGAACTGGAGCACAGATCCAATTCCCTAAATCAAGAGACCCTCACCAACATCAAGGAACCTTCCTAGAGGGGTAATTTCCTCAAATTTTCCATATCTGAGTAGCTGAAATTTCTCTTCGTTGAACTTCATATTGTTTTGAGTGGCCCATTTGAAGATTTGGTTGATGTCCGCTTGGAGTCTTGTGGTGTCTTCGATGGAGGTCACTGGCATGGCAATCCGGGTGTCATCCACAAAGGAAGACACAGAGCTATGGTTTACATCTCTGTCTATGTCAGATAGGAGGATGAGGAATAGAATGGGAGTACTGTGCCGTGTGGAACAGAGTTTTTCACCATAGCTGCCTCAGACTTTACTCTGTTTACTATTAATCTTTGTGTTCTATTTGTCAGGAAGTTATGGTAGGGAAGAGAGAGAGATGTTACCCTTCATTAATTATATTTACACTTTCAATCAATATTCCAACTAAGCACAATTTGCATCACTTAAAAAATACACAAATGTAAACATCATTATTTACACCTTTTTCTCTTCGTGTTTTCCAGGAAGCCGTAAGTGACTGGAGCGGTGGCCAGGGAATTTACTTGCCCCTCTCTTCATTATTATATCCTTGCTGAGACATATAGTAGGTTAAAACAGGGCAGAGTGGACACCAGCAGCACAGTTCTGCCGGTGTAGCTGAGAACAGGAATGACCAGTATCCACTTCACACTTAGTACAGAATCTTCACAAGCTTCGGCAAATCAAGAAGTCTGTACTTAGTTCATTATTATTATTACAATCAAAACTAAGGGCTAAACCCATAAGGGTTGTGCTTAGTTGAACACATACACAAGCTTCAACATGTCCAGAGGTGATATCACCTGTTTAGTGTGATCTTGTTGCATATATATTCATGAGGATGGGCTGCACTATTACAGGTCATAGAGGCAAGTGGGCAGAGCCATTCCTCTCTCCAATTATTGTGATTGGCTCATGGCAGGCCAAGGGGTGGGGCTTCTCACTCACATTACTATGATTGGTTGATGGTTAGCTAGGGGGTGGGGTTTGTCCCCATGCATTATTATGATTACCACGCAACAGCCCAAGAGGAAGGGTTTCTGCCTTTGCCATTATTCTTACTGGTGCAGACGAAGCTGTGTATGGAGCCTGTTGGTTCGTTTAGAGCCACAGGGTGAAGCATTAAATGACTCAGGGGAGGAGCATTTTCTCCAATTATTTTTTTTCCATTGGTTTATTTTGGAATAGGGTGGGGGATTTTCCTCGTACTCATTTTTGATAGTTTTATTTCTGACTAGGAGCAGGGCAACCCCAGAGAAAAGGAACTTTATATTTTTTAATGGGAGTCCCAGTGGCGGCTCATGTATAGGCACTGCGGAACTGCAGCACTCCCCTATTTTCACTGGATATTATCGATAACATTAAATATAGTAAGTCTTTTTTCTTTAATTGAATTAAAAAAAACTCATTATAATGAATGTTATCGATAATATCGAGTGAAAATAGGGGAGTGCTGCAGTGCCTATACACGAGCCCCCACTGAGACCATAGTTGGACAGGAGTGAGCCCTCTTACACTATACACCTGACGAAATTGCAGTTCCCCTCTCTTGCACACAGGTAGAGGAAGGACACCCAAATAAGATAAACATGGAGATAGTGAGAGATTATTATGTTACTGGAAAAAAATGAGGTATTAATCTTCCTTAATGAAATATGAGAAGGTAAACAGATTTCTGCAGGTGTCTAGAAAGTGATGGTCCACTGACCTTATTCTTTATCATTTTTTTCCTCTCATTATAGTACACTGTATGTTGTGGCTGGTAATTACAGCAGCTTTCTTTGTTAATTACTGACCAGCAGTCCCTTTACTGCACCACAACAAGCAAACAAATAACTGTTTTAATCAGATTCACATTAGAACAGAACTTTCATAATATTCTGTAGTTATATATATATATATATATATATATATATATATATATATATATATATATATATATATATATATATATATATATATATATATATATATCTAGGCAGAAAGTATGGAGATTTAGAAAGTATATAAAACATACAAACAATTTAGGATATAATAATAATAATAATAATAATAATAATAATAATAATAATAATAATAATAATAATAATAATTTCAATGAGAGAGACTGGGATAGTTACAGTGCCTGGTTGACCTACTTTACATAAGGAGAATATCACTCTGCAGGAGCCTTGTGAAGTGGGTATCCTCCGTCCCCCTTCCATAATTCCTTCCTTGCTACCTTCCCTAATTCTTCCTTGCACTCTTATTCCTAGACTGTTCTCTCTCCCTACCTCCTTTCCCTTCCTTACCACCTCATTCCTAGACTGTTCCTTCTCCCTTCCTCCTCTTCCTGTCTTACTTCCACATTCCCAGACTGTTCCTTGTAATTAGTACATCCTTCTGATCGTAATTATTATTAGTATTACTATTATTATTACTGAAGAAGCATTCTTGGGAATGGGAAGCAATCAGCACACAACACCTGGGGAATGGGATGCACTTAGGTTTGATTGGAGTAAACAGAAGGCGGTTGCAACTCTTTGGTCCCCCCACATTAACTGTTGTTTCTGGTATGTGTGTGTGTTTGTTACAGTATCGACGCCAGGAGTGGTGGGTGTGAGCGTGGGAGCCGCAGTGCTGGTGCTGGTAGTGGGTGCACTGGCCTGGGCCTGCTACAGAAGGAGAGGTACCCACAAGAAGCTCGGAGATCGCACCGTCACTCTCAGGAGACCTACAGCAGTGAAGAATCCACAGCCACAGAGCCACTATCTCAAGAAGTCCCCCTCACCCACGGGGCCCAAGACTCCCCCAGGAGGTAAGCAATATTAATGTTATGGTTTGCCCTCACTGTGTTTCAGTTTTCTTTGGTTACACTTATGATATGATGTCTGTATGTATTGGTTTGGCTCTTGCACCGTTTTCTTGGATGCATCTCATACTATAAGAGAGGCGAAAAAAGTCACAATTAAATAAAATAAAGGAAACTAGAGAGAGAAAATAAGGGTTGTATGCAAGGAGTGGAAGGGAAAGAAAGGGATCAATAAAACACAATACACAAATAACCAGCACACAGGAGAATAAAACTTATGACGACATTTCGGTCTGACTTGACCATAAACTAGTGTGGCTAGTTAATGGTCCGAGTCTGACCGAAACGTCGTCATAAGTTTCATTCTCTTTATGTGCGGGTTATTTGTATATTGTTCCAGTCACGGTATTGTGCCTTTTTATTCTTTAGGCGTCAATATCGTTAGTAAAAGGCAGGGGTAAAGGCTAAATTAATGAGGAGACAAAGAGGGAGGAAATAAAAATTGTGATCCATGTCTTAAATGACATGTATCCAAACCAGTGCCTTGAAAGGATCAACTTCCTGGCAGCCGAAGCATGTTCTAGGCATATTCCCGTAAGAAAGAAGAAGAGCAGGAGTAAACTGGAGAAAGACGCTCCCTCTACAGAAGACGACGAAGAGTCACTGAGCTCCTCAGGAGTGCTAGAATATCTGATACACGAAAGGAGGCGCTGACCAGGGAAGTGGAAACTATCGAACTTAAGTTAAATGACTCTTACAGGAACCAGGAGAGGCAGGAGGAGCTTAAAGCTATTAGTGAAATTGAAAGAAATTCAAAATATTTCTTTTCATATGTCAAAAACAAGGCAAATACCACATCTAGTATCGGGCCCTTACTCAGACAGGATGTGACTTACACAGATGACAACAAGGAAATGGGTGAAATATTGAAATCTCAGTACGACTCTGTGTTTAGTGAACCACTAATCGGTCTGAGGATCGACGACCCAAATGATTTCTTCATGAATGAGCCTCAAAACTCCATAAATGTATGCCAGATTTCCGACATTACCCTAACTCCGATAGATTTCGAAAAAGTCATTGACAACATGTCTATGCACTCAGCCCCGGGCCCAGACTCGTGGAACTCTGTTTTCATTAAGAACTGCAAGAAACCCCTCTCGCATGCCCTAAGTACACTATAGAGGAGGAGCGTGGACATGGGTGAAATTCCAGTCACTTAAAACAACGGATATAGCCCCACCCCATAAAGGTGGCAGCAAAGCATTAGCTAAGAACTATAGACCAATAGCTCTGACGTCCCACATCATAAAAATCTTTGAAAGAGTGCTAAGAAGCAGGATTGCAAATCACCTGGATTCCCAAAATCTGCACAATCCAGGGCAACATGCGTTCAGGGTAGGTCGCTCCTGCCTCTCACAACTACTGGATCACTAGACATGGCCTTGGATGCACTGGAAGAAAATCAGAATGCAGATGTAATATACACAGACTTTGCAAAAGCATTTGACAAATGCGATCATGGCGTAATAGCCCATAAAATACGTGCTAAAGGAATAACTGGGAAAGTGGGGAGATGGATCTTCAACTTCCTAACAAATCGAACACAAAGAGTAGTGGTCAACAGAGTTAAATCGGAGGCTGCCATAGTGAAGAGCTCTGTTCCACAAGGCACAGTACTCGCCCCCATCTTATTCCTTATCCTCATATCAGACATAGACAGAGATATACACCACAGCACCGTATCATCCTTTGCGGATGATACTAGGATCTGCATGAGGCTGTCATCTGCTGAGGACGCGGTTAATCTCCAAGAAGATATAAACAAAGTTTTCCAGTGGGCAACGGTAAACAATATGATGTTCAATGAGGACAAATTCCAACTACTCCGTTATGGAAAACTGGAGGAGATAGTAACTAGAACAGAGTATACTACTGACTCCGGCCATACAATAGAGCGGAAAAATAATGTAAGGGACCTGGGAGTAGCAATGTCTGAGGATCTCACTTTCAAGAATCACAACAGTGCCACGATCGCACGTGCAAAGAAAATGATAGGATGGATAATGAGAACTTTCAAAACGAGATGCCAAGCCAATGATGATCCTTTTCAAATCGCTTGTTCTCTCTAGGCTGGAATACTGCTGTACATTAACATCTCCTTTCAAAGCAGGTGAAATCGCAGATCTAGAGAGTGTACAGAGATCCTTTACTGCACGTATAAGTTCTGTCAAGCACCTTAACTACTGGGAACGCTTGGAAGCACTTGACTTGTACTCGTTGGAACGCAGGAGGGAGAGATATATCATAATCTACACTTGGAAAATCTTGGAAGGAATGGTCCCAAATCTGCACACAGAAATCACTCCCTACGAAAGTAAAAGACTGGGTAGGCGATGCAAAATGCCCCCAATAAAAAGTAGGGGCGCCATTGGTACACTAAGGAAAAACACCATAAGTTTCCGGGGCCCAAAACTGTTCAACAGCCTCCCATCAAGCATTAGGGGAATTGCCAATAAGCCCCTGGCTGCCTTCAAGAGAGAGCTGGACAGATACCTAAAGTCAGTGCCTTCAAGAGAGAGCTGGACAGATACCTAAAGTCAGTGCCGGATCAGCCGGGCTGTGGCTCGTACGTTGGACTGCGTGCGGCCAGCAGTAACAGCCTAGTTGATCAGGCCCTGATCCATCGGGAGTCCTGGTCATGGACCGGGCCGCGGGGGCGTTGATCCTCGGAATAACCTCCAGGTAACCTTCAGGTATCCAGGTATACACACACCACACATGAGCAGCGAAGAGGCGGAGCCAAGAGCTGCGGCTAGACCCGCTTCCCTGCAGCCACAAATAGGTAAGCGCACACAGCTCCTAGAAGTCTAGAATCAGTAGCAGCTAAAATGTTATAACGAGACAGTGTGAATAAAGACATGTATTGAGGAAACATTTCAGATAAGTGGAAAGTTGAGGTGTATAGAGTGAGGGAGTAGGTGTGGCCTTCCTGGCTGGTGTTAGTAGTCTTCATGGTGAGCAGTCAACTGGTGTTAGCAATATTCTGGGTGGGCAGACAGCTGATGTCAGTGGTCTTCAGGGTGGGCAGACAGTTGGTGTCAGCAGTCTTCAGGGTGGGCAGACAGCTGGTGTTAGTAGTCTTCACGGTGGGCAGTATTCTCTTTACCAAGATTTTAAAAATGTTACAGGTACTGGAGTATTGTGGGATGCTGTTGGTGACTGTCATGGCACCTAAACATTTATGACAGTATAGCTTGTTTGCCTTGGATAACTAACTTGGCATCTTCCAGTGTCATGAGGTGGTCCTGTGTGCTCCTATGTTGAACACAAGAGTTCTGATCGTTGTAGTTATTCGTGCATGTATGTTCATATACTCTCACTTCCAGACATGTTATGCCCTCAAGGTTCTTACAATACCTCTCACAAAGTGATATAAATTCGTACACTATCATGGCTGCCCTCTTCTCTCCGCCCACACCATGCTGCCACTGTCTGGTTAATGTCTAGTGGATTTTCTGCAGGTATTAGGCGAGGTGGGTGGACAGAGGGTTTGGTGGGTTAGGGGTGATGGAGGGTTAGGGTGGGCTAGGGTAGATGGGGTCGAGGAAGTGTGGGAGGTTCTTCACGATGCAAGCACAAATTAAAACACCGAATATTATCCTGCTTCATTAGAATCCTTTTATTTTCGCATATACTTGCATACAAAAATATTTATTCATTATTACAGAAACATTCCAATTTCACAGAATTGTTGCGACACAATCAACTGAAATCATTAAGCATAAGTTTGATGCTCTTGGTTTTCAAGAGACACGAGGTACTTAATCCTATACAGGTGATGCCTCAGAGGATCAGATCGCTCATTACTAACAAATACACCATTAAAGTCTGCCTTCATTTTTTCAAGAGAGTATTAAATTTTCTCTCCTCACAACTTTTACCTGTTATAACTGACCTGTGGCTCCAGTTATGTCATATAACAAAAGACATCATATAAATTTATATATATATATATACTATTATTTTTTTATCACACTGGCCGATTCCCACCAAGGCAGGGTGGCCCGAAAAAGAAAAACTTTCACCATCATTCACTCCATCACTGTCTTGCCAGAAGGGTGCTTTACACTACAGTTTTTAAACTGCAACATTAACACCCCTCCTTCAGAGTGCAGGCACTGTACTTCCCATCTCCAGGACTCAAGTCCGGCCTGCCGGTTTCCCTGAACCCCTTCATAAATGTTACTTTGCTCACACTCCAACAGCACGTCAAGTATTAAAAACCATTTGTCTCCATTCACTCCTATCAAACACGCTCATGCATACCTGCTGGAAGTCCAAGCCCCTCGCACACAAAACCTCCTTTACCCCTCTCTCCAACCTTTCCTAGGCCGACCCCTACCCCGCCTTCCTTCCACTACAGACTGATACACTCTTGAAGTCATTCTGTTTCGCTCCATTCTCTCTACATGTCCGAACCACCTCAACAACCCTTCCTCAGCCCTCTGGACAACAGTTTTGGTAATCCCGCACCTCCTCCTAACTTCCAAACTACGAATTCTCTGCATTATATTCACACCACACATTGCCCTCAGACATGACATCTCCACTGCCTCCAGCCTTCTCCTCGCTGCAACATTCATCACCCATGCTTCACACCCATGTAAGAGCGTTGGTAAAACTATACTCTCATACATTCCCCTCTTTGCCTCCAAGGACAAAGTTCTTTGTCTCCACAGACTCCTAAGTGCACCACTCACTCTTTTTCCCTCATCAATTCTATGATTCACCTCATCTTTCATATATATATATATAATATATATATATATATATATATATATATTATATATATATATATATATATATATATATATATATATATATATATATATATATGTATATGTATATATATATATATATATATATATATATATATATATATATATATATATATATATATATATATATATATGTATGTATATATACTAATCAGCAAATGAACAAACAAATAAAATATAATGCATGAAAACAGACAATAAAAATTTGATGCTTAAACGTGTAGAGAAGTCAATAGTTGGGTGAGTTTAGAGCAGTCGCCCTTTAACAGCAGAGAGTACTGGAACCCTTCAAGAGCGCTTCCACATACTTCAAGGAATTCAAATAGAATTAACCTCAATTTTACTCCTCTTGGCTTTTGTGATTAGTGTACGTGGTGGTGATGATGAGGAAATATTGTAAACTTTAATTGCTCTGGAGCCCTGTAAGATAGTTGGGTCTAACCAGGGTGAAGCCTTTGTCAGGGTTTCTAACTGGTAATTATAATTAATATATAATGTAATAATCAGTAGATTCCTTGTTAATCTCTGAAGATTACGTTGCTCATAGTATTGAGAGAGAGAGAGAGAGAGAGAGAGAGAGAGAGAGAGAGAGAGAGAGAGAGAGAGAGAGGAGAGAGAGAGAGAGAGAGAGAGAGAGAGAGAGAGAGAGAGAGAGAGAGATTGTATGAAGTGTCAATATTAACTGTGGTCTCCCCTGACCTCGTTTACCCCAACAGGAAAGTCACCAGGGGGAGGCAAGACTCCCCCAGGAGCCCGGACACCCACCGGTGGTGGCTTACCCCCAGGAAGCTGCGTGGGTAGCCTCACCACAGCCTCCGCAGCAACTACCCGCCACTCCTCTCCTGCACACCAGGTAACACACTCCTTTACATACACCAACTCTGTGAATTATTTTCTACGACACATGTGTCATATCCATTCAATATATGGTCTACAGAAGTAAACACATTCACTATCACTCACACACTAGCTGTTTCCCCACCAAGGTAGGGTGAATCAAAGAAGGAAACACTTGCTATTATTCATTTCATAATTGTTTTGCTAGAAGTATATATGAATCACTTATTATTTATTATTAAATATTAGCCGGTATTCTCCCGGCCTGGGCCTTTTCCAAGTGGTGGCCCGGCCTTGGCTCCCTCTTTAGGGAGTGTCTGAGACCTAAGTCTCCCATGGGAGGAGGCACAAGTACCTCCTCATCTTTGGGACCAACTGTCCCCAGGCCTAGCCACAAGCTAGGCCTCTCTGGTCTGCCATCCCCGCCCCAAGGGGGCAAATGGGAATGACAGTCTTATGAGCTAAAGGCTCGGGCTCAGGCACCTACCCTACCCTAGAAGGGTTAGGCATGGTGTCGATCATATGAATCACAATGCAAATAGCCAGTCGAACCGTAAAAACTGCAAAAAAATGCGTCCCCAATATATATATGTATGTATATATATATATATATATATATATATATATATATTATATATATATATATAATATATATATATATATATATATATATATATATATATATATATATATATATATATATATATATGCAAAACAACCAATGGTTGTTTTGCATATTCTGAAATCACCTGTTTACTGTGATCTTGTTGCATATATATATATATATATATATATATATATATATATATTATATATATATATATATATATATATATATATATATATATATATCCATCATCTGTACTAGAATAATAGTAGAAGAATGTCAAAATATCACAAAGATGATTAAAGATTCTGATCACAATATGAATTAAGTAGCCAAATTTTCATATAACCTATATAATACTGAATTATAAGAAATGCATACTTATATTACCTCTTATGGGATTAACACAACTCAAAACAGACTTAGGCTAAAACCTTTTATTACAGCAATAAATTTGCACTGGGCATGTATGGTAATTGCCAGACCAACACAGATTGGTCCGAATGTTATCCTGCTTCACCAACACACACACACACACACACACATACATAATGCTATAAGGTTATCGATAGCGTTTTGCTTGTGGCTTGCCAGGCGTTCTCAGAGTGTATGGGTGATGTTGGTCATGGAGGAGATAGCGAACAAGTGAGCTACGAGAACGAACAAGACAAGCCTAGCACACCGTCCAAGGAGGAAGTGGAACTCAACCAACGCAACCTGACCAAAGAAACAACACCAACACGTCTTGGTAAACTACACTTCAAGCTCAGGTGAATACCACGCCAGGCAGGGAGAGAGGCACTGGGGAGATGAAGGGAGGCACTGAGGGAGACGAAGGGAGGCACTCAGATGAAGGGAGGCACTGAAGGAGATGAAGGGAGACTTAACTAAGGGAGATGAAGGGAGGCACTGAGGGAGATGAAGGAAGATGAAAGGAGGTACTGAGGGAGATGAAGGGAGGCACTAAGGGAGATGAAAGGAGGCACTTAGGGAGATGAAAGGAGGCAATGAGGGAAATGAAGGGAGGCACAGAAGGAGATGAAGGGAGGCTTAGAGGACGATGAAGGGAGGCATCGAGGGAGGTAAAGGGAGGCACTGAGGAAAATATAGGGAGACATAGAGGGAGGTAATACAAGAACTGATGGAGGGCAATAGAAGAGAACTGATGGAGGGCAACAGAAGAGAACTGATGGCGGGAAGCAGAAACGGAAGAGGACTGAGGAAAGAAAGTGGAAGAGTGAAGGAGATAGACTTAGGGAGAGTAAGAAAACTGAGGGACGAAAGTAGAGATGGAAATGAGGGAGGAGAGAGGAAAGCAGGGAGGTAGGGGAGAGGAGAGAAGGGAAGGGAAAGAGATCCTTCCACACCTCGCATCTGTCAAATGTAATATTCTATCTAAATTAAGATCTGGCGAGACAATGTGTGTGTGTGTGTGTGTGTGTGTGTGTGTGTGTGTGTGTGTGTGTGTGTGTGTGTGTGTGTGTGTGTGTGTGTGTGTGTGTGTGTGTGTGTGTGTGGTGTGTGTACTTACATATGGTTGGAGACCGGAGTGTGTGTGTGTATGTGTATTTGCCTAGTTGTGGTTGCAGGGGTCGATTCATAGCTCCTGTGTGTGTGTTTAGTAGTAGGAAATAATAATATAGTTTAGGCTGGTACACTCTCTCTTCCACTTCCTGCACCAGGTATAACTTCGATAAAAACGCTCTAGTGGTGACAATCGTCAAGTGCACAGGTCTGCCAGCTAAGGACCCAGCCCTCACCTCCAGCGACCCCTACGTCAAGTTGCAGCTGCTGCCAGAGAAACAACACAAAGTGAAGACTCGTGTGCTACGCAAGACACTCAACCCAGTCTACGACGAAGACTTTACCTTCTACGGTATCAACTACTCTCAGCTCCAGGTAGGCCCAAACACCAAACTTATAGCAGTTTGTACTTCCAGCTACAGACAGGCCTAAAGAACTTACAAACAGAGAAGCATTTGGGATCGAATCTGGGTTATATGTTAACGGGTTATTAATAATGGTAGAATTGCCGACAGAACGTAAAGTAAATGGACACATGCAACTACTGTGACATTTTATTGTGGCAATGTTAATGGTTCCCCCGAAGTGAAATTTTACAAAACTAAGAGATGCTAAATAAAGATTATTGTATACATTTACTGTTTGTAACTAAAAGTTTGTAACATTTACATATTTTAGGTGTTCACGAGATAAAGAAAATACCAGTAAGCCTGTCGGTGCAAAATATTTAGCAGGTCTTCAGGTCTCACACGTATACCTAGGCCTAGGCTATACCTATGTGCACAGTTGCACTCCAGCAGCCTACTACCTACGTTCACCAAGATGACAGTCCTCTTCTTTATTTACACAAATTTTTACATTCACTAAAATGTGAAACAGCAAATTACCAAATATTTTCTTGCCTTTTTAAAACTTAATGCAATTATTTCAAATTAGCTGCAATGCCTTCATAACACTTGCACGGCTGTAGTCATAATTATCTTGAATAATTTATTTACATTAGCCTACCTGACAAGTGTATCTTCCCCTAAAACTAATACAGATAAAAATTACGTAATCATTATGAGGCTTCCTTGTTGAGGGTCTGATCAAGCCGGCTGTTGACACTGGCGACGCGTATTCAGACATAGACATCACATAAATTTGCATTAACCTCTCCGCAATCATTAGCATACAGGATATATATGCATATACCGTGAGGTGTATGTCTCAGTGTATATACTATGAGAGCTTACCTTAATTCCCTTAAAAGTGATGAAAGTATTCTTGAAGGGTGGTGTACAGGTGATATGCATGTAGTCTTAATGACCCTAACGTAGTCTATATTATTTAATTACCTATTTACCAACCAAAGAACCATTGGCACAGTTGTGCTGTGAGTAATACCCCGACTGCCATCAATGCCATTCTGTGTTCATCACTCCCACCACTACTACCACCATGACTCACTCAGTAACCACCACTAACGTACACACAGGTGATCACTCTACACTTCGTGGTACTCAGCTTCGACAGGTACTCCCGTGACGACATTATTGGTGAGGTTGTGTCACCTCTGGCTCAGCTCGACCTCTCCAACACTGAGACCTCCCTCAGCCTCGCCAGGGAGATAACCCCGCGCTCCCTCAAGGTAACTGGCTCTACCTCAAGGTAACTTTACTGTTTCAACGTAATATGATCTATCTCAAGGTAACGTCCTCAACATCAAAGTAACCAGGTAACCCACTCTCTCAAACTAACTCACACTCCCTCAGAAGTAACTCATCCGCAAGGTAACTAACTGTACCTCAAGGTAACTCACTACATTTTTTTAATAAAATCTATACAAATTAGCCTTTCTCTTTCTCCTCGCTGTTTACACTCCTTATTCCCTATTCGTTGTATTCACTTGCCACTTGGTAAGTGTTCTCACACCTCATACTCTGTACCACAGTTCACTATTTCCTTACTAATTTCACTTTGCATTCAATATTTCAGCTTCACCGTTCCCCTACAATGTAGTACTAACGTCTTTCCTCAGGCCTTTAATTATTATAATTATGAGGGAACGCTAAACTTGTTGGGTCATACAATGTTTGGGGAATACGAGGTAATGTGTGTGTGTGTGTGCGCACAAAAGCTCATAACATATATCCCAAAGTCTGTACTACTAACAGTCTGGCGGTGTACTGTCGTCGACTCTTCAAAGCCTGGTTAGTCTCACCTATTTCATTTCTTTTTTTAAATTTTAACATTTTTTGCATTGTTTCATTAATACTAGTAGTATATTAGTTCTTTTCAATATTTTTTTTTTAATTTTCAACGGCAATTTTAAATAAAAAGTTTTAAATCTTTACGTAATATATTTTGCCTGAAGTTCGTGCTGCTTAATTAAAGGATGCATTATGGCTAAGATTTTGAGCTGAGTATTAGGCTTGTTGTTCTTGTATGGTAGTTACCTTTGTGATGACTGAGACGAATTCGGAAGGGAGGAGGCGAGTGGGTGGTGCAGCTGCTGGTGTGAGTGACTCCCTTCCCCCTTCACTCACCCATACCTCACAATCCTTCCTCAAACTTGTACCCCTATCACTCATCCATTTCTCACTCACCCTACACCTTTCCCCCTCCCATATCGCACACCATCACAACTCCCTCCCAGCACCCCCCACCCTAGCGCCTCCTCCCAGTCCCTCAGGTGGTGAGTGTTGTGATGGTGTAGCAAGACAATTATCATTTTTCCAGTATGATATCGAGCTCGTTACCCACAGATCCGTTCGCAGGGCCGCGGAGAGCTGCTTGTGTCCTTGTGTCACCAACCTGCGGCCAACAGGCTCACAGTCGTGGTCCTCAAGGCGAGAAATCTACCTAAGATGGATATCACCGGCCTCTCAGGTATCTTTCTGGGTCTATCATGTTTCAGGTGCTTCCACGAACTAGTTTATGTTTCAGGTCTGTGATGTTGAACGTAGATCCACAGGCCTCATGGGTATGTTTGTGTTGTCTTCGGCTGTATGTGATGTCCTAAGTCAGGGTTTTGGTTTCAAGTCAGATTGCATGACCCTCAGATTAATGACACTTACATAAAGTTTAGGACATTTATTAAAGGAAACGTTTCGCCTGAAGCCACTCGTAGAGAAACCTTTCTTTAGTACATGTCCTGAACTGCACAGGTCTTCATCGACACCTTTTCGATATCACCACATTTACGACAATTGGCAGGTCAGTTTATGTCCTCTCAGGTCTGTTTATGGTATATTAAGTCAGTTTCCGACCTCGCGGGTCAGTTTATGGGTCTCAAATGGTCCACAAGGCGGTGCGGTATATTCAGAGCGCTGGGACTAAAAGGTTATTTAACACATTCGAAAGCATTCTCCATTCGCAACATGCAACGAACATCACCAGGACAACCACAACGCCGATATACACAAGAAAGTCCTTATAGTTACAACTAAATAGTCAGAGTAAGGCAAATGCACCACTCTCAATTTAAAATGGCAAGTGATGTATAGCACTGTAGGATTACCCCAAAATGTCGCTTAGGTCCACATACATTACTGATAATATAAACCATGATGAATACCTAAAAAATCTTCTATTAATGTAACAGTAGCAATGGAATTGCAAGAATGCGCTAAACGCATATGGGCTGCACATCGCTAAACGGCAGACACGAGAGGTGTGGAGGGGAAGATATTTGCGATATTAAAAGTCAAATTCCTTGCCAGTTTCGTTCGAAGGAATGAACGAAGAAAGCAGGCAAGGGCGGCACTAACATGTTTATCACAGCCATTGGCAGGATGCCAGCTGCACAGAAAGGAGCAACATTCCCTACTGATTGAATGATGATACCTGGGTTTCCATCTAGAAAAGATGTCATAATTTGGGTTTCCATCTAGGAAAGATGTGATAATATGTCAGGGAGAAAACTCGTCTGATGTGTGTGTGAGCATCATGTGTTGCTGAAACATAACTGACCACTGGTATACTGAAACAAGTGACCATTGGTTTACTGAAACATGACTGACCTTTGGTTTACTGAAACATAACTGGCCACTGGTTTATTGAAACAACTAACCTTTTGTTTACTTCAACTAACTAACCTTTGGTTTATTGAAACGTAACTAACCGCTGGTGTATTGAAACGGAACTCACCACTGGTGCCCGGGAGTCAAACGTATGGCCTAACTCTGCCTAGTATACAGTAAACATGAGATTCCACTCACTTCTGCTATGAGTTGTTACTCTTAAAGCCAGACTATTCACACTACTTAGTCTTCATTAATGCCGCACTACAACTAGACACTAAAATCAAGAATATTGTACTAGTAGAGGATTGTAAGCCTACTTACTTATGATCAGTGTCGTTGGTCACACACCCAGGCTGTCGTAAATTAAAATAAATATATTTTAAATACACAACAGTTAATTAGCTATATTACATTCAATGTGGAGAGCTACACTCGTACGGAGAAACAAATAGGAGGCAATCAAATTAAACCTAAGAAAGGGGAGAGTAGGTATAGTTCCTTGGATCAAGAGCTCATCGCCAGTATTAAAGCATCTCCCTAAAAAAAAAAAAAAAAAAACAAATACAGCATATATGTTCAATACCACATAGTTATTGTCACCAGTATATTGAAAGAGTCAGCAGCTACAGATTCACAAGATATTGAACAGGAGTAGCGCAAAAAACAATCCCTCACCTCTCAAAGAAATAATAATAATCAAAATAATAATAATAATAATAATGGTAATACTAAATTAATAATAGTAATATAAGTAATAATAATATTAATAGTAATAATAATAGTAATAGTAATAATATAATAATAGTATAATAATAATAATAATGTTCAAACTCTCCTAGCCCCTCCTTACCTTCCAGCCTGACAGCCACCACTAAGTCGCCCAGTATAGTAGCCCTGATGCCGTCCCTGGTGTTAATAAAACTAAACTATATCCCTACATTGTAAAGTGCATCAAATAATATAAAAACTTACGTTTATTTCATCCTGATAACCAACACGACTCTAGCACTGTAACATGAGGATGTTGACAAGTTTTCTCGTAATATTCGCCCAATACCAGCATTTCACTCGTTTGTTTATTAATACAATGTGTAACAAGTCTTTCCACTAATTAATTTCAATATTGCACAATTAAATTCACCCACTACAAGTCAATTTAAGTCAAAAAACAATGTGTGTGGTTCACCATTTTCTTTCATCGTCAACAATGTTGATGGCAGAGAGAACTGGGTACACATCTTTACAATCTGTATTTACTTTATTATAGTCTTTATTTCTTATTATTTTGAGGAAAAAAATTAATGAGGTTGGAAACTAATCTAATCAACAAAAATTAATGCAAAGAAAAGCTAATCAGAGGTAAATACTAGTGAAATATCAAATAATAATGATTTTGAAAACTGTCAGCTGGAGGTTCCATCACCTGACCAACACCGGCGTATTTTAAGACCATTTTTAATATAGCTGTCAAATTTAATTGATTGGTAGTTAATGAATACTATTAAATTACACTTTATTTCTGCCTTGGGAAATTATTTGGTAGAAAAACACTTCAAAATACTTAAATAATTGGATAGTATTGCTATGTTGATATGGCAACGATGTGACAAAATTTTATAGTTTAAATTTCTAATAAAAATTCATATGAACACTCTACGAGAACTTAAAATTTTATTAAAAAATACAAAGGCAAAAATTTAAAAGGAGCACAAACGGTCGAAAGAATTGCACGCCTGGCATGTTTTTTGAATCGTACGTCTGGCTTCCTTTGAATCGTACGGTTGGCATGTTTTGAATCGTACGGTTGACATGTTTTGAATTGTACGTCTGGCCTAGTAAGTAAGTAAGTAAGTAAGTTTATTCAGGTATACACAAATACAGTTACATAGAATTATCATACATAGCAGCATGTGTGTAGAGAACCTAGGATAACCCAAAAAAGTCAGACAGAGTGACTTATTTCCATTGGGGTCCTTTACTTATTTCCATTGGGGGCCTGTTTTAAATTATACATTTGTCATGTTTTAAATCGTACGTCTGGCATGTTTTGATGCTGTATAGTCCTTGTGGCTTAGCGCTTCTTTTTGATTATAATAATAATAATGGCATGTTTTGAATTGTTGGGCTGACATGTTTTGAATCATATGGTTGTCATGTTTTGAATCATACGTCTGGCTTGTTTTAAATCGTACATCTGGCATGTTTTGAATCGTACGGTTAACATGTTTTGAATTGTATGTCTGGCCTGTTTTAAATTATACATTTATGTTTTAAATTGTACGTCTAGCATGTTTTGAATTGTGCATCTGGCATGTTTTGAGTTGTACGTTTGGCATATTTTGAGCTGTACGTCTGGCATGTTTTGAATTGTACGTCTGGCCTGTTTTAAATTATACATTTACGTTTTAAATCGTACGTCTGGCGTCTAACATGCTTTGAATCGTACGTCTGGCATGTTTTGAATCGTACGTCTGGTTTGTTTTAAATCGTACGTCTGGCATGTTTTGAATCGTATGGCTGGCATGTTTTGAATTGTACGTCTGGCCTATTTTAAATTATACATTTCTCCTGTTTTAAATCGTACGTCTGACATGCTTTGAATTGTGCATCTGGCATGTTTTGAATCGTACGTCTGCCTTGTTTTAAATCATACGTCTAACATGTTTTAATTGTACGTCTGGCATGTTTTGAATCGTATGGTCGGCATGTTTTATATCGTACATCTGGCTTTTTTTTACGTATATCGGAAAACAATTAAAATATAACGGAATACTCTGCAGGGAATATTGTCAAAAAGTTTCTTTTTAATATATCTTATCATCATACTTCAAAATGTAGAGATCTAATTATATATTTGTGTTTATATTTAGTAAGTTGTAGGAACTAATGCACTACGAGGTTAGTCAATGGGTCATTAAGGCAGCATTTTAATTCCTAAAATAGGGATTAAAGTAAACCCTATACGCAAAGAGAAATACAGTGTATATATCCTGCTCATTACAAATTAACGTTACTAGTCCACGTAATAATTAAGTTTTTAATTATACATTATACAGTGAATATTGGTATATGTGAAATGCGCCGTCAAGCACATGAATTTTCTATGCTCAATAAAGGAAAATCTCAACTGCATCATAGATTTATTCATACGTAATTGAAATGATCAGAATTTTTTTTTAATATAAACGTGAATTATGGTACGCACCTTGGCAAGGATTATTGGAAAGTAATAAATATGAGATAATAGACCATACCCCCGGCCGGGGTTTATTTGCAATCGTGTCATTACGATTTCTTAAGTCATGAGATAATAGCACCGTGGAGAGACATTGTTTTCTATGAGTGTAGTGGGAGGCATAATTGTGTCCAGGCCAGTGCTTTCCAATCATCAGAATGGGTTACTTATGGAAAGTTACTCTATAGACAAGGGCACCCCACCCCATTAAGAGGTCGACCAGAGATGGTAAACGTAACACACACCCCATTATGAGACAAAATATACTATACATAAACCCAATATAAGTTGTAATGAACAACTGTCAGTAAATAAACAAAACACTGGAAAGGGGACTCGGATCGTGGTATAGCCTTTAGCCTGCAAGTCCCCGTTTATTTTTGTTTGTGCTATACATATAGATAAAATATAGATGTTACATCACATAATCCTATAAAATATCATTCTAAGCGTAAGATGTAGCAGCATATACAATATTACATAAATATCCTATTCAGTCTAAGTGAGATGAAATATGTGAACAAAACTCGCCAAGAAATTAGTAGTTTGAATACTAAATCAAGCATATTATTTCCCCTGTGTCTTTTTACCCTTTATTAAAAATTGTCCCAGTACAGCATGAACCAGTAGAACCTTCCTAACATGGACCAGTAAGACGTGCCTAGCATGGGCTAGCAAGACCTGCCTAGCATGGGCTAGTAAGACCTGCCTAGCATGAACCAGCAAGACCTGCCTGGCATGAGCCAGTAGGACTTGGTTACCTGGATTACCTGGAGGTTATTCCGGGGATCAACGCCCCCGCGGCCCGGTCCATGACCAGGCCTCCCGATGGATCAGGGCCTGATCAACTAGGCTGTTACTGCTGGCCGCACGCAGTCCAACGTACAAGCTACAGCCCGGCTGATCCGGCACTGACTTTAGGTATCTGTCCAGCTCTCTCTTGAAGGCAGCCAGGGGTTTATTGGCAATTCTCCTAATGCTTGATGGGAGGCTGTTGAACAGTCTTGGGCCCCGGACACTTATGGTGTTTTCCCTTAGTGTACCAATGGCGCCCCTACTTTTTATTGGGGGCATTTTACATCGCCTGCCCAGTCTTTTACTTTCGTAGGGAGTGATTTCTGTGTGCAGATTTGGGACCTGCCTAACATGGACCAGTAAGACGTGCCTAGCATGGTCTAGTAAGACCTGCCTAGCATGAACCAGCAGGCTCTGCCTGGCATGAGCCAGTAGGACCTGCCTAACATGGACCAGTAAGACGTGCCTAGCATGGGCTAATAAGGCCTGCTTAGCATAGACCAGTAGGACCTGCCTAGCATGAGCCAGTAGGACCTGCCTAGCATGGACAAATAGACGAAACATTGTATAACCAAAAGATACTGTTCTATATACGTCTTTCCACTACCAATAGCCTACCACACTTCTCTGTCTTTACATTATTTAGTTGTCGGTACCACCATACCATCTACAAGCTGATGAGGCAGCCACACGTGGTAACAGTTCATTTAATAAATGTCTTGAAGTGTACAGTAATGTCTTATGTTCTCGGGTTATCCCACAGATCCCTACGTGAAGATCTACCTGCTGTACAACGGTCAACGGGTGGCCAAGAAGAAGACTCACGTTAAGAAGCGGACATTAAACCCAGTATTCAACGAGTCCTTCGTGTTTGACCTGCCCGCCGGAGTGGACGGTCTGGACAGCATTAGTTTGGAGTTCCTGCTGCTGGACTGGGACAGAGTCACCAAGAATGAGGTGCCTGTCTTCCTCCTCCCTCTCTTCTTCAAATGCTGTAACATTAAAAGTCACAACCATCACCGCCAGTCTTTCCTGAGCTCAACCATATACATCTGAACCATTGATTGTGATGGCTCTGACTCCCTTGCCCATGACTGGCCCTGTAACAAACGACATCAAGGCTTATAAAGTCATATCCATTATATATATATATATATATATATATATATATATATATATATATATATATATATATATATATATATATATATATATATATATATATATATATATATATATAATATATATATATATATATATATATATATATATATATATATATATATATATATATATATATATATATATATATATATATATATATATATATATATATATATATATATATATATATATATATATATATATATATATATATATATATATATATATATATATATATATATATTGTTAGTAATTTGTCTGACACAACGTTCTCTCCTTGCAGGTGATTGGTCGGCTAGAGTTGGGCGGAGCCAGGGCAGCGTGCGGCTCAGCCAATCACCACTGGAGTGAAGTTGTGACGTCACCGCGACGCCAGATTGCGGAGTGGCACAAGTTAAGGGAATAAGCTGAAACTAGTGTTAATAACAATGTAGCTGACACCTATGTTAACATTAGCTGACAGCGTAGCTGACACCAGCGTTAACAACTGTAGTTGACACTAGTGTTAAGTGTAGCTGACAGTGTTAACAACACTAGCTGACACTGTTAACAGTGTAGCTGACACTGTGTTAACAGTGTAGCTGACACTGTTAACAGTGTAGCTGACACTGTTAACAGTGCAGCTGACACTGTTAACAGTGTAGCTGACCGTGTTAACAACAGTTTAGCCGACACAGTGCTAACATTGTAGCTGACACCAGTGTTAACAGTGTAGCTGACACCCGTGTTAACAGCAGTGTAGCTGACACTGTCAGGAAGGGTGTGGGTCCCCCGTAACATGAACCAAAATAACCAGCCAGGAACAAATTTCGTGATACTCGCTGGCCAGGAGGAACCTGGCTGGGTACTACCCAACCTTAACTTGTCATAAAAAGAACCACAACTTCAATCTTGGAACTGAAATTAATGTTATCTCGCGCTGTACTTTGCTTGCTTGCAACCGTCTTGGTGGATGATCTGAGAGTTGTGCTGACCATGTTCATGTATATGTGTTTGTACAGCTTATTAAGCAGTTTCGCTAAGGTCACAGCCTAGTGCTGAGGTCACGACCTAGCCCAGCTAACCAGAGCTGTCGGCTACAGGAGCTGGAAGAAATATTAAATGATCTCCGCCGCTGACTTTTGACTTGTGGGTGATCTATCAGGCTACTCTGCCCATCTCAAAACTTATACCCTGGCTAAATGAGTGTTGTTATCTAAGTTACAGTCTTACATTAAGTAAACTTTCAATGATATTGACTTACAGAGTCTGATCTATTGTATTTATCTAAGTATGCCATGACCAACTCCGGGTAACAGCCTAGTCTGATCTTGCCTCATCTCTATCGCGCTCACTGTAAGCTAGACAATAAATATTTTTCCTATCTTAATACCGTGACTGAGGTTATTCCCTACCCGCAAGGCCAAATGTTGGTAGTGAGTTGTGTTGGTAGTGTATACAACGCGTTGAAGACATTCACTTCTAACTTGTCGCTTTGTTTTCTCGCCTTGCTACACTTCTTGTATGTCTCCACTTACAAACCCAGAAAGGTAAATTCTGATCTTTTGTGGAAATATATAACTTAAAAGATGATTTTACAGTTACAACACTAAATGTGTAGGGATATATATATATATATATATATATATATATATATATATATATATATATATATATATATATATATATATATATATATATTATATATATATATATATATATATATATATATATATATATATATATATATATATATATAATATATATATATATATATATATAATATATATATATATAATATATATAAATATATATATATATATATATATATATATATATATATAATATATATATATATATATAATATAAATATAAATATATATATATATATATATATATATATATATATATATATATATATATATATATATATATTAAAATGTCGCTAAGTGGTGAATGTAACTTCCGAGGCGAAATATATTTATATAGTGGAAAACTGAATCTTAAAAATATATATACACATGTCCACTTTCATATTTATAAACATACATGTCAGTACATGTTTTGAACGTGATAGAATATATTTTCCTTGTTTTAGAAGAATCATGTATCATGCATATATGTAAATGTTCATATGAAATCAGTTAGAAATCACCATCAACGAAACTGCAGGAACGTTTTTCAATATTCTGATATATATGATTAAGAATACGTCATGTGAAGGTTTATTAAATTAAACTTATTTTAGGTCACTATCAAACTAAAAAAAATAATGTAGAAGGTAACTTATTTAAATATTTCAATGATATAAGCTTCATAAATTCCTGCATTTTCGAAAGTTGTGCTACTTATAAGAGTGAGAACATTGTCGCTGCCTTTTGCCCATGATGGTACCAACCGTCCCACCAGCGGCGGTACCACACGTTCCTGGCGGCAGCAAAAGCCTGTGTCAGACAGCCCCGGCAGCAACAGCGGTGCCAGACGTCCCTGGCAGCAACAGCGGTGCCAGACGTCCCCGGCAGCAACAGCAGTGCCAGACGTCCCCGGCAACAACGGTGCCAGATAATCCTGGCGACAGCAGAAACCGGTGTCAGATAATCCTGGCGACAGCAGAAACAGGTGTCAGACGTCCCCAGCAGCAACACCGGTGGCAGTCGTCCCCGGCAGCAACAGCAGTGCCAGTCGTCCCGGCAGCAACACCGGTGCCAGACGTCCCCAGGCAGCAACAGCGTTGCCGGACGTCGCTGACGGCAGCAGCAACAGTGGTGCCAGACGTTGCCGCTCGGTGGCAGATGTCTTACTGTGCGTCTCACATCTCAGTGAGGTTCTATATCGCACCTGCCTGGACAAGAACAACAAAGTGAACACTTCTTGAGTGACAGACAAATCTAAATGTTAGGATACATGAGTAGAGGCATCACAGTGTAGGTAGCTCGGTGGTGACGAGTGACCAATCCACATGGCAAGCAAGAACCATTAGCTTAGCTCAACTTTAAAAGAAATCCTTAGGTAAAATTTTGGTCAATATTTATTATAACTGCTCGGCGGAGTTAGATGATAATTTATAGCTTATTGTATAACAGTTCCGCAATGGCCTTCCTTATTCAGGGTAGACATATTGTTATTTTTGCGTGTGTGTATTAGGTTATTTTACATTCTCCTACAACGGGTTCTAATCAGATTTAACCCAACTTCACCTGTTTATTATAATACAATGACTTGCATCTACTACGAAAACCATACATGATATTACCTTCAAGTGAATGACAGTTCAGTGTCAGTTTTTATTTATTTTGAAGTAAGCATAAAAGTACTTACGTTGTTACTATCTCCTAAAATACCAATTAACCCAAGAAATAAATTTTGTTCATTCGGTTTAGATATCTTGATTGTATGGTAAGAGCTCCGTCGAGCTGCTTAAGTAAACACTGATCAAAATTTTTAGTACATGCAGTTTTCGAAAATGCTAAAATTTGTTAAGAAAACTTTGGCTTTTTCCTGGCTTGCATGCGGTGTGGTAGCGGTGTCGCCCAGAAACAGGATGAAGCAGCAAATGATGACAAACTGTTCTATATGTTGCCTTCTCACGACTTCTCTTCGCAGAATTGGCATCTGGTTCTGCACTTGAAATATAAAGGGAAGAGCCACAGCCTCGGTGTAAGCATTATGGGTTTAATGCTGATACACATGGTAGGGACAGCCATTGTATCACCTGGAGGCCTCCCCAAAGGAAGAAAAATATAGTTATGCGGACTTTTTATGCTTTCTTTTATTTGCCAACATAACTACCCCTAGTAATCCAACCTGACCCTACTGAAACTTACGTAAAATAATTAACTTGGCCTATGTATATGCATAACTACATTTTATTTCCCCCCTTGGGTGAAAGGGAGAATATATTCATGTGACCCCGGCCATTTTTTCATTATGTTAAAAAATAGTCATCTAGGTTCCAGAGGATGAATATACATTGTTCCTAAAGAAACATCCAGTCAAGAGTTCATATCCAATCATAGCAATTGGCTTCCACATTTCAATTACAGATAAAATAAGCAATAAGTTCAAATTAGTTGAAAGCTTCAGAGAAATTATGAGCAGTTAGAAGGGCTTTCTGGTCGACATGAGGGAGCTAGTAACAAGTTACGAGTTATACAAACCAAAGGTGGATTTTAGAAAGTTTAATTCTTACACGAGTTTCTGTTTTGGGATTTAGTGGAAAGTTGGGCAGGATTGGCAGCGAATTTGTAAATTAGGGAATGGAATGACCACAAGATGAACCATCAAATATTTCAAAAGATTCGAGGATTTTATTTATTTTTTTGCTCTGTACAACAAAGATGGCATCTCACCTCGCAATATGTGGCAGCTTTATTTTAATAACATCTTTGGAATGTATTTTGCAAGACATGGTAGATGTATGTACCTGTAAAAGCTTTGGTGTACAAGTCTTATCAGCGAGAGTTGGTGTTTGTTAGGAAAGTACTTGATAGTACTTATCCCTGCTGGTGCTGGTTGATTGGTACCTGATCCTCACAGTATGGGATGGACTGCTAGTGACAACCAGCCAATCTGTTTATTCTAAGAGCTACAGTTAGTGAACCACCACCAGGTATCTTCTTACTGCCACTTATTCCTCATACTTCAGCTTCACCTGCGGGAGGAGGTATTGTAAGAGGTGGCAGCTGACCACAAATAAACATCAATCATCAATCTTTACACTGGTGTCATTTTATTTAACTTCCATTTTCACCTCTGTATTGAAAATGCTGAAAAATAAAAGATAATTTACAATTTTATTATGTACATGGAAATGGGCTGTGGCAATTGAGTTTAAAAACTTGTGAACTTACCTTGAGAAATTTACCTCAATAAGTTGCAGAATTTTGGTTTTGTACAGTTAACAAGTTGATATTTTCCATAATATTTCATTAAGAGTTTCGTCCAAAAGTCTTGTGTGCGTTAACACTTAAACTTCCATACTTGATTTACATCAAATAATTGAGCATTAAAATATAATTTGATATATATAAAATATATATAATATATATATATATATATATATATATATATATATATTATATATATATATATATATTAAGAAAGTGACCAAAATCTAACGAAAAATGTATAGGAATAAATCAATATCCAATGTGAACGTGTTTTTTTTTTCTCCTCGTTGCCTGACAATAAAAATACCGGGACCAGACAAAACCTTCATCAGAACCTCTGGTCACATGAAGCTGGAGTGAAGTCGCCTGATATCTCAAGTTATGCAGGAATACACATCCAGCAATTTCGCCTCCTATTTGAGAGGTGTCAACCCAAATTTAACCTCTAGAGCACGAAAAATTCTTCCCATTACACTAACGTTGTATCCAATTCAAAATAAAAAATGGCGACTGACCCCCCAGCCGCAGGTTTCCCATTTTCGATAACATACTTCTTTTAAAAATACAATATAGGGCATCTATTCACCTATAAATTACCGTATTTTCGGAAAATATATACAGTATTTTCCACACTGCGGCCGGCCGGAGTTCGTTGCTAAACGACTCAAATTGCTGATTTGGCAACGGTGGAGGACCTGGGTACATATAGGATCTGGCATCCACACGGCGACATATTACACAAAATTTAATCACCCTTTTTACACTTTGCCGTCCTTGTGGAATCCAGAAAGTTTCCGTAATACAATTTAAGGTATCTTGTACCCCACCATGCATTACATTTTTATCGGCATTTAGCACAATTAAATTTGTTAGATGATGAGTTTTGGGCAGTAAGATAGGGTGTTTAGCATTATCACCCAATTCAGCATTTTGTAACCTACCTCTGCACCTAATTACACTGTTCTCTAAATACAGCCCCAATTTCTCTATTATGGAACCTTTCACAATTTTTCTTTCCATCATCAATTTAATCTCATTTCCATAGATTTCCTCCTGTACCCTCTTTATCCAATATTCAAGAGGATGTGAAAACTTATATGAAATATTTATCTTGTTTAGAAATTCAAACACCAACTTAGTTACATTGATCATTTGGGTAAAGAAGAATACCTATTTATATCAATGGATAAAGAAGGACAAACTATTGGAGCGGTGGTCACAGTAATTTTCAACAGGAGCAATATACACCTTTGTACAGGCCAATTAGCTTTATTTACCAACCAGCTGGGTCCTTTAAACCATGATACAGTGTTACAAATTTAGCATTAGATAAACCTCGAGACAAAAATCAGCTGGATCTCCTCACCAGGATATGATTAAATGTTAACATATGCTGACCCAAACTATTATACTTCTCTTGCATCTGATTAATTTCAGTGACTCTGTTTTGTACGTACACAATTTTACTGTTTCCATTACGAATCCATTGTAAGGATACCTCATTATCAGACCAAATTACAGTGTCGCTAATATTATCTCCTGCAACTTATTTCTTATATAATTAGCTAATTTGACACCTACATAAATGGCTGTTAATTCCAACTGAGGTAAGGTACATGATTTAATTGGAGACACTTTAGCCTTAGACATAAGAGAAATAACACTATTACATTGCAGGTAAGCAACTGCTCCATATGCCAATTTTGAAGCATCACAAAAAATGTGGAGTACATTTTTTCCATTTGGATTGGCCACCTGGTGTGGGAACTCCAACATTGGAATATTTTCATAATCACCAATTAATTCATCCCACCTGTTAATGAATTCCTCAGGTAGAATTTCATCCCAAGTACATTTAAGTTTCCATGCTTCTTGAATTAATAATTTCTCTCTTATAGTAAGGGGTGACACTAAACCTAGTGGATCAAAACATTTGGGAACTTCAGCAAGCAAAACTCTCTTAGTTAATTTATTGGGCACACTGTAATTATTAGGTTTTAACATTAACAAATCTCTCAGTATCCCAATTTAAACCCAATACATTACTACATTTTGGCACTTCATCTCCAGGGTAATCTTTACTTATTTTGTCCTTCAATTTGGACGAATTACTATTCCATTCTCTCAGAGACATATTTGCACTTTGCATTATTTTATTAGCCTCTCCATAAGTCATTAACGGTTCCTCTTTAGTTGACGTCACACCCAGGAAATTGTCCACATAAAATTGTTTGCTCATTACCTTACTCAATGGGCTTTCCATACGTTTAAGGTGTGCATTTATCGTCGCTTGAAGTAGGAACGGACTGGATGTAGCACCAAATAATACGCTCCTAAAGCGAAAGGTTTTCAGAGGGCTAAGTGGGTCAATAGGATTCTCAGGCCATAAGAAGCGGGTACAATCCCGGTCAGCCTCTTGTAAACCCACTCTTAGGAAAGCTTTACTTATGTCAGCCGTAAAGGCATAATGCTTCACTTTGAAATTTAATAAGATATCTCCTAATTTTTCCGTCGACGACGGACCTGTCATCAAACAGTCATTTAAACTAGGTACATTTTTGTTACTCCTGGCACTACAATTAAACACAGTTCTCAGAGGAGTGGTCTTAGAATCCTTCTTCACTCCGTGATGTGGCAAATAGTGACCATAAATTTTGGCTTGCTCAGGAGGTACCTCTTCTATAAATTTATTAATTAACTGCTCAGCAATTATATCATTATAGGCAGTTAACAATTCTTGTGTCTTACTCAGTTTGCGGAGCTTAGCTTTTAACTGCCCATATGCCATTCTGTAATTAGTGGGCAATTCTGGATGGTTCAGTCTCCACGGAAGTCGTACCCAGTATTGTCCAGATTCAAATTTTACATCTTTCAGGTACTGCTCCTGAGTAAAAGAATCGTCTGGACTTTCTTCATTTACATTTATTCCAATGCTGTCTAATTCCCACAATTTATGCACTGGCTCAACACCATCCTCTATGGAAGAATTATACTGGGGTACAACTTCATGAGTAAGACACAGTTATGGTATTTGTAGTTTCCTCTAGTCATGAATTATTATTACGAGGAATCCTATCATACATTACATGGCCTCCTGCAGTCTTCAAAAGGGTGACACCACATTTCTTTACCATACCTTTTACAAAGGAGGCATAATAGTCACTACCTATCAAAATATTTATTGGGGCCTACAGAATCATCACTTACACCAGAAGGTGCTAAATTTACATTATGTGAAAGTCTTTCTGTAGCTTTACTAAGTCCTACTGTAGATATTTTCTCTGGAAATCTATCTACAATTACTACATTAACACGTTTTTTCTCATTGCCCAACCTGACAGTTACATAAACAGTGTCATACAATTGAGCCCTTTTATCCGAGAGAAAACCAGATAATTTTAAAGTTGTGGGATCTCCCATCTGTACTTTCATACCATCAAGACATTTACGTTTTATGAAAGTACTCTGGGATCCCTGGTCCAATAATGCAGTTACATTTTTTTATTTATGCCTTTTATCATCAATTTTTACCTGTAACACAGGTAAGGCTACTTCAGCAAAACCATCATTATTAACATTAGCAACAATTTTTACATTAGCTACTGTTGTGCCAGGATTGTCAACATTATCATTATTATCAACATTAACATATAGACCCTTACACATGACTATATGGTGTCTTCCTTTGTGACATTGATAACAGAAGTTTAATTTGGCATAACAATCCTTTACATTGTGATTACCCAAACACCTGATACATCTGTCAAGTTCCTCCAATCTTTCAACTTTATCATTCCATGAATTGTATGCATTGCAATTCTTAGATAAATGCGTACCCTTGCAGAAAAGGCAATCTCTCTTTTCTTTGACTGGTTTCTTATTAACTGGGTTACTCTTAGAAGGGTACTTATTCTTCTTACCTTGTGGAGAATCATTATTTCTGATTCTTCCTACTTGATATGCACCTATGCAACTATTTTTAGGAAATGAATTTTGATTATTACCATTGGGATAATTTTTCCCTTTGTGAAACTTGACAGATACCTCAGAGTTATTATGTGTTGCATCTTTAAAATGAGTTGGTTGGCTGGTCCGCAACTGCACAATTAATTCTTGTTAGACCTAGTCTTATTTCCTCTAGACCAAAATAACCCTTGTGATATTTGTTGGAGATCCATTCAAGTGTTTTATAGTTTAATTTATTCTGTACCATGGCACTCAATAACCAGTCTGATTCCTTCAGATTATATTTATTACTTAAAGTTTTGAGAGTGCTCTCCAGTTTAACTCTAAACTGCTGTAAACCTTTGTAAGTGTGATCTGGAGATTTTAAATTAACAATGATATTCACTAGATCCAACCTACTTTGTTCTATATTACCATAAGTGACCTTCAACAAGTCAACTGCTTCCTTGTAAGAGTCATTTACATTGGGAAAGGCTTGTATGAGTATGTGAGCATCTCCTCTTACCTGTCCTTTGAGGTAAAATAATTTGTTACACAGGCTAGGTCACTCCTGTCATGCACAGCTGCTTTAAAAATTGACCAAAATTCCTCCCAGTTTTCTCCAGGATTAAACACAGGCAAACACAGTTCTGGGAGTTTTGGCAAAGACATATTATTTGTTGGAGCAGACTGACCAACTGCCTGGTTTACACATTTTAATTTATTCAAGGCCTGACTTTTACAAGAAAGAATCTTTTCCTCTAATTCATAATACTGATTAATCATGAGATCTACTTCAGTCTCATCTACACAGTTTACTAATAAATCTCCTTCATATTTGTTGTAATATAATTTGTATGAATCATATCTATTACCTAAAGCATCTAAATACAATGAAAATAATACTGGCCAGGTTACTACATAAGATTTATCTGAGGTTCCTGGAGCTGTCTTGTCCAGTCGTCTGATATCTCAAGTTATGCAGGAATGCACATCCAGCAATTTCGCCTCCTATTTGAGAGGTGTCAACCCAAATTTAACCTCTAGAGCACGAAAAATTCTTCCCATTACACTAACGTTGTATCCAATTCAAAATAAAAAATGGCGACTGACCCCCAGCAGCAGGTTTCCCATTTTCGATAACATACTTCTTTTAAAAATACAATATAGGGCATCTATTTACCTATAAATTACCGTATTTCCGGAAAATATATACAGTATTTTCCACAAGAATCGCATTAAAACACATTTGACCCGCAAGGGTTATTCAGTGGGCGAGTTCCCAGAGAGGACACCAACAGTGAATGTTTTAAAGACTTTGAGGCCAGAATGAGTGGAGTGCAGTACAACATTAGATATGATGTCTCAGTAGTCTAACACATTTATGGGGAATTGTGTTTATGAGTAGACGGGAGAGTCTACTGAGCTGCTGTGTCACCACGCTGCTGACAAGAGTGATTGACTAACTGTTGTGTCTCTAAGAAAGGAAAAAGGGGGAGTGGTAAAATCGTAATGGGTCATACAATGCCTGGGAAAAATAAGAAGCTTCAAGGTTCCTCGGATCAAGATACCTTCACCAGTATCAAGGAGCCCTTTTTCGTGTAGGAGCGAGGCACTCTTAGTGCACTTGTAGATATGAAAGTTCATGTAGAAGGGTGCCTCTCCCCCCAAAATAAAAAATACCTATAATATTTATATAAATGATATTATGTACCGGTAAGTATGTTAAGACTATTGTTATAGTAACTAGGTGCTAAACCCACAAGGGTCATACAGCGCTGACTCATATGTTAAGACTATGCGGTTTATGGCATTTTATTGAGGAGACGTTGCACCCACCAGCGGCATTGTTTTCATGAACATCTCTGGTGGACGAGATAAACCTCATTATTGATTAACAAACAAACGTCCAAAATAATCGTCTTTCGCCAAGGTTTACTTAGGTAATGTTAATTTACTTGGAAAGAAGAAATGTTGCTTAAAACTATTTGATTTGCACTCTTAGAAGGACATAAGACTCATTAATAAAATGAATATGAATTTTATTAAGACCTAAGTTGGAAATTTAACTGTCGACTCTCATGCCAACAATAAAAATTATACCAGTTGTAGTTCTGAAGTTAATTCTAAATCTAAATACCAATCTGAGCCATTTGTTTTCTTATCCAGTCGGCGAAATAAGTTCCAAGATTGATACTAAAATCAGCACAAATGTTATCAGAAAACCTCTGAAGTAAAGGTCTTCTACGTCAAGCAGTAATAATCAGGAGGCTAGAGAGAGAGAGAGCCACAGTAGTGTCTCAGGTAGACACTTAGTAAACCACAGTTGAAGAAAGTTCAGTGTGTGGCCAGCACGTAGACACTTACATTCTGCCTGCAGAACAGAGAGCATTGTTAAGGACTTCCTCCAGCAAGTCAGAGTTCTCCTCCAGCAGCTTGTCTACCAGCTCCAGGAGTGCTGGTCCATTGGCATCAATGTCTGCGTTGATGTCATCAGCTCCTTCCAGCTCAGACTAGAAAGTTAATCACGAATATTAGTATCTCCACCTATGCTCAAAACAAGACAAGACTCTTAAAGTTTATCTGAAAGTAGTTTTTAGGACGGAAGCTAAATAAAAAGTTATCGTGATATTTAGAAAATTTAAATCTAAGAGTTCTTCAGCGTTGATATTATAGTGGGGAAAGGTTGCCTTCATAACTGGACATGGAACTACCATCATATTCATTGAATCAAATCCGATCACTCCCCATATTCCTTAATAACAGTGACCCGTCCCAGTTCAGCGCTTCGCTGTGAATTAATAAGCACTAATAAACTTTTAACTTGTGATGATTTCAGTCTCTATACTTTAAAACAGAAATAAGAAATTGGTTGGGAGTATTTGGAAGCGAACCTTGGCTGGTTCTCACTGAAACTTGCACTGCTACCCTCCCTGTAACACTGCAGGTGTGCTTACTATTATGGAAGTGACGGTGAGCTCAACAGTCAAAGAACCTTGCTCGATACACAGGGAGAGAGGCTCCACCGAGTAGCTGTCTGCTCTGAAGAAGATGTTCACTCCGAACTCATTCAGTGTCAGACTGTTGATAACACAAAGATTGATCATTGTAGTTGAAAAGGCCAGCAAATCTTAAAAGTAAAAATAATAATAAAAATATATTACAACAATTTCTGCAATTGAGGACGAGCGATAAAGTACTCACTCTGCTTTGCCGGAGTTCAAACTATCAGCCCCGTTGAAGGTGCCAGTGAGTTCGTAGTTATCAGTGTGGATACTCAGGACATCTATCACAGTGTCGAGCCTCACCTGAAGCAATATTAACATTAAACATGTATTAAAACTGTTGGCAACTGCCAATAGTTTTCATACACGTGTACGCACGTAACGGGATTAAACTGTGTAGAGATTAAAATAAAATATTGTTAGTGTGCAGGTGACATGAAACATTAATCTCACATACAATAGATACTTTAAAACTGTACCTTCAACAATTTTAATGGGAAAGAAAAAAATAAAAAGTTAATGGTACAGAGATCATTAAAAGTGTCTTACCTACCCACGCCTCACACCACACCCAAACATCGATGTATATAAAATATCTAAGTGAAGTGGCTAATTGTCAGAATATTAGCAAGAATTAAAGTGGGAAATAGTCATTTGCCATTATTTAATTTCACCCTAAACACAGTTCAGCTCAGAAAGGACTCAGATTTATGATTTTGTCGCTGAAGTCAGTTTACTGTGGACCCCCACACAGCCTGTGGACGGCAATACAAAAGCATAAGGCCTACATAAAAGTCTTTAGAATAGGCTGAAACTTTTAAACAATATACAGGAATCTACGAAAACTTACCGCTTTTGAGATTAAAGGTATGGGAGGCTCAAAAAGAGTCACCACGATATTGGAGAAACCCGACACGACAACATCTGTGCCACTGAACAGTAAACTGCAAAACGAAACCAAAATTAAAAATCAAATGTTTATCATATTCCAAAAACAAATTATTATTACTGAAAATATGCACCATCCATAAACAGTTTATGCCGCAGTTTGATCCCATTGACTTTATTGGGTTATCCTGGGTTAATATCCCTCCGGGTTATAACTGCTAACAAATGTTATCTTACTCGCTGTGGTCTGTAACAATATGAAGGTCTGTGAGGGCGTCAATAGTAGCTGGGTCGAGGGGCGTCAGGTACTCCTGCAGCAGAGCTGTCAACTCAGGCTCCAACACACCCACTGACGGAGAAAAAAGGCCAAAACATGAAATTAAATATGCAAAGTTCCCTTGCGAATTTGAATTTAATGGAAACGAAACACCAAACGGGTCATCACAAAAACTGGATTTTTAACTAACTAAAAAATTCTGTCTGAATACTTCAGAGTTGTAATAAGAGATTAAACTGTATTTTATTAAGCGCTAAATCCGTGTAGGTCACTCAGGGTAGTGAGTGGCCAGGAACTATCGTATGTCTGCTAATCGCTAGCCTGTTAATCAGAAAATCTGTTAGTCATAACTCAGCACAAGAGCGAAAAAAATTAATAAAAAAAAAAATTCCGAAGACATTCTACTCACAATATTTGTGAGCAAGTGTCTGCATAGGACAACAAAGCAGTTAAACTTACCAGAGGTGAAGGGGATGGCAGAGGCCAAGAGAATGGCAGAGAAGATGGAAGCAAGTCCTAACATGGTGGAGGTGAAGTGCGGCCAAGAAGAACGTAATGTATCAAGGTCAGGTAGTGACACCTAGCAAGCTACTACTGACACCTGCAACCTGTTGAAGAAACTGCTCCACAGGCACTGTAGAGTTCACTGCTGGGGCAGTTATATATACATCTCAGGCATCAGGTCTGTCTTGCCTCCCCCTACATACTCAAGGTTGTGGAGGGACAGTGTACTAAGATAACAGTGAGAAGAAACATGTGGAGATGTTATCACGTATCTCTGACATACTCCGGAGAAACTAACAGCTGCATATTTCGTTCACAACACTTGAGAGGTCGTGTAGTATGTTAATCTCCAGGGTTTGTTACCTGGACCTCAGCAATGAGAGTGGCTACTCTCACCGCTGGGCAACGGCGACTAGTGTGTCGTGTAGTATTATATAGGTTAAGAATGTGTTTCTCTGTACATATCTTGACAAAATTATAGTGATTCAAGTTTTTTATAAACCCGTAGGGGAGGGGGGGTTCCGAGCAGGGTTTGAGGAATGTTAAGCAATTAGGTTGGATCCAGGGAAAAGGGCGATGCTGTCCCTTCCCTGGATCAAGAGCCCCTCGCGGGTAGCAAGACACCTCGAGGGTAAAGATTAAAGTGATCCTAGTGCAGTATAGGCTTTAACCCCCCCCCCAAAAAAAAAAGGTCACACGTTTACTAAATGGGAATTTCAGAAAGATAGTAACTGCCTTTATCTAGACTCCTCAAAATCCCATATATATTAAAAAAAATAGGTGTCAACAGATAGGGGGTTTACCAGAAGATAAATAATTATCACACCAAAGCAATTTTTCCAATGCTATGGCAACCTACTAGTTAAATATTTTAAGGATTATTTTCATTACAGAGTCATACAGACTATAAAATGTGAACCTTTGCTGTGAAAAAGTTTTACGAGTAGGTCTCCTCAGTCCGGTACAGATAATAAATGGTAAATGAGACACAAATAACCCGCACATAAAAGAGAGAAGCTTACGACGACGTTTCGGTCCGACTTGGACCATTGACAAAGTCAATGTGTATCGTTCCAGTCACGGTACTGTGCCTTTTTGTTATTTAATGGTAAATGAGTTTCAGGTAATCAGTCCCTCAGCAAGTGTCTTAATTCTTTAGACTATAAATAGTTATAATAGTCTGAGCTTGCTACCATCTGCAGCTCATAAGACTGCCATCCCCACGAGCCCATTTGAGGCGGGGTAGATGGCAGACCAGAGGCTTAGCTTCTCCCTACGAGCCCCGTGAGGGCGGGGAATGTGGCTAGGCCTGGGGACACTTGGTTCCAAAGATGAGGAGGTACTATACCTCCTCCCATGGGAGACTTAAGTCTCGAGACACTCCCCAGATAGGGAGCCAAGGCCGGGTCACCACTACTTGGAAAAGACCCGGGCCGGGAGAATACCGGCGAATAAAAAAAAAAAAAAAAACTATAAATAGTTCAGGACTGAAACCTAGCATGTATGACACCAAGAGGCCTGGTCACAGACCGGGCCGCGGGGGCGTTGACCCCCGAAACTCTCTCCAGGTAAACTCCAGGTAACGATCGTATATACCCAGGGATGCAATAAACCTAGCATGTATGACACCAACGATCGTATATACCCAGGGATGCAATAACTCTAGCATGTATGACACCAACGATCGTATATACCCAGGGATGCAATAAACCTAGCATGTATGACACCATGGTTGAAGGTCCTTCATCTGTATTCCCTCGAACGCAGGCGAGAGAGATACATGATAATATACACTTGGAAGGTCCTGGAGGGATTGGTTCCAAACTTGCACACGAAAATCACTCCATATGAAAGCAAAAGACTTGGCAGGAGATGCAACATTCCCCCGATGAAAAGCAGGGGCGCCACGAGTACACTGAGAGACAACACAGTAAGTGTCAGGGGCCCAAGACTGTTCAACTGCCTCCCAGCATACATAAGGGGGATTACCAATAGACCCCTGGTTGTCTTCAAGCAGGCACTGGACAAGCACTTAAAGTCTATACCTGACCAGCCGGGCTGTGGTTCGTACGTCAGCTTGCGTGCGGCCAGCAGTAACAGCCTGGTTGATCAGACCCTGATCCACCATGAGGCCTGGTCTCAGATCGAGCTGCGGGGGCGTTGACCCCCGAAGCACACTCCAGGTAAACGACCGCATATGCCCAGGAATGCAATAAGCCGGTAGGAGACTTGGACCTGCCTGGCATGGGCCAGTAGGCCTGCTGCAGTGTGACACCAACGACCATATATACCCAGGAAAAAACTTCATCTATAAAACAGATCTGATGGCATATTATTAAATAAATTATTTTTTGCCGGGACAAGTGAAAACTGGACAAGGATCTTCACCAGATGCCAGATTAACCAGGCTGTGCGGGATGTGTGGGGCAGCGGGCCACAAGCATCAACACCTGGGTTGACCAGGCTAACATGGTCCATGGCCGGGCTACGGCGACTCACGAAACTCGTCAAAGACAGCAATATTTGTTGTTACACTTTGGTATCTTTATCGTGGAAACGTTTCGCCTGCACAGCAGACTTTTTCAGTCAAATATAGGAGAATATAACACCGTGGAGACTAGCAGTTTGGACATCGATATATTTTTTTTATTTTATACGTTATCATTTTACGTATGATAATAAAAAAGGCAAATAAGTTTCAATTTTATTTGGTAGAAACAAAAAAATATAAGAATTATAACCAGAGGTAATCTATGTTTACAAATACAAATATTAACTATGGTGAGCAGGTGATCTGGTTAATGATCTCCTCTATCATGATAGAATTATCGTTCAGTTCCTTCTCCAGTAACTTCATAAAGTATGGACCATTGGCTGCTACATCTGTGTTGATGTGCTCGGCGCCCTCCAGCTGACACTGTTCAACACACAATGGAAAACAATATTAGGCGTGAGGAGAAGAAAAATAGCAGGGCGGTGGGCATATACGAATACTGCATATCAATGTAATCCCATCCTTTCCGAAGTACTAAATAACAGTAACTAGGACGTTATTCCATTTATCTACACATTACACATTGAACACATGGTCTAAGAAATACATAAAAGACTCCGGATCCTCTACTCTTTATTAACACATCAAGATACTGAGAGCTACAGGTGGATACTGAGTGCTACAGGTGGATACTGAGAGCTACAGGTGGATACTGAGAGCTACAGGTGAATACTGAGAGCTACAGGTGGATACTGAGAGCTACAGGTGGATACTGAGAGCTACAGGTGGATACTGAGTGCTACAGGTGGATACTGAGTGCTACAGGTGGATACTGAGCTACAGGTGGATACTGAGAGCTACAGGTGAATACTGAGAGCTACAGGTGGATACTGAGAGCTACAGGTGGATACTGAGAGCTACAGGTGGATACTGAGAGCTACAGGTGGATACTAAGAGCTACAGGTGGACACTGAGAGCTACAGGTGGACACTTACCAGAATGCTGTCAACCTGGAGGATGATTGAGAGTGTGTTGGGTCTGATACATAGAGACAATGACAACAAGTTGAACTTCTCAACCTGGAAGACCAGCTTGATCTTCAAGTTGTTGATGATCACACTGTAAAAAGAAACTCACATTATATATATCGTGATCGTAAACAAATGGAAGCTATTAGAGTGTCTATTTATATTTATAAAAGTGGTATAAAATACCGACAGGTTGTTTAGGTAAGACACATATGCAACAATGCTCTTCTCCAGACTGAGGGACTGACCACCTCAAAACTTTAAGGGTGATGGACTGATTACATCGTCTTCAAGTCTCTTCTGCTTCTATCAACTTTGCTGTACTCGACTGAAGAAGCCTACTGTGTAGGCGAAACGTTTCGAAATAAAGATACCTAACTGTTGCATATGTGTCTTACCTAAACATTTATAAAAGACAAAAATACAGATTGTCAAGAAAAAAGTGTATGCTGATTCCGTTCAGACGATACTAATGCAATTAATACAAAGACTCTTAAGAGTCCTACTTAAGAATCTTAAGAGAAATATGATAGCTTCGCTAAACCTTGGTATAAACCAGCTTCGCTAAAGCAATTTCACTGTAAATAAATTTTGACTTACTCTGCCGCTCCTGTAGCCAGTGTGTTACTTCCTCTGTAGGAGCCGATTATGTAGTATTCATTAGAGTGGAAGAAGACTTTATGTACACTGCCTTCCACCTTCATCTGTACACATGAACAACTCAATTAATTACACAAAAAAGACGACATCCGTGTACACAACTTACTGTCATATTTCTGAATTAAGCAAATTACCCTAAGTTAATTAACCTTCAAATGGAAGTGGCCAGTTGATAATATTGATAGTAATTATAAGAAATTTTCCACGAAGTTAATCAAATAATATTCAAGTAATAATATAATTATAAACTATAATTCTCAACCATGCTAATAATAATAATAATAATAATAATAATAATAATAATAATAATAATAATAATAATAATAATAATAATAATAATAATATACTGACTGCATCGGAGAAGAATGGAAGAGGAGGCACAAACTTGGTGACAGAAGCCTTGTCAAAACCTGTGACGAAGAGGTTGTCAGCGTTGAACTTAACACTGTGGAGGAAAGAAACAAGTTTTAGTATCTTAACCATTATAAACTATTACAATCATACATAATATTTAAACTATCACAGTCTTAAACGGGAAGAAAAACAAGGCTGTACCTGCTGAAGTCAGTCATAAAGCTGAAGTCGGTGATGTCTTCGAGAACAAAGGGATGGTGCTGCTTCAACCACTCCTGCAACGACCTGGTTGTCGACTTCTCCAGGAAAGCTGAAGGTAATACAATAGTTTATTAATGTCACTGGTTTATATACATGGCTGGACAATTAATAACACAAATTGGGAAGGAAAACTGGACGTGTGACTCTTGAAATGGGAATGATCCAGACAGACCCAAAGACCATCCGATTATTACATATCCAACACATGAGTTGCGAAGTCATAATTAATGTTTGGTGTCATTGGGTACGGGAGTTATTTCTTGAGTAGCTTTAGGTAGATGTCGTTTTGATAAGGACCTGCCTCGCATGGGCCAGTAGGCCTTCTGCAGTGTTCCTACATTCTTATGTTACATTCAATATATCTCAAATAATGTTTCAGTATACAGCCTACATATATGTACATGTACTCACGTATAAAGAAAGCCTGGCACGAGGTAATACACAGCACTGAGATAATAACGCTGAAACTAAACATTGTGACGCTGAAGAGGGCTGGATAATTGTAATACAGAGAACGTCGTCCTAAGCAGGAATGAGACGACTTACAAAGTGGACGCTTTATATCATTGCTACAGTACTGGGTTGTCAGGTGAATATTTGTGAGGCGCACCGCAGACACTAGGCACGTCCTTCTCAAATTTAACCTTTATCATTCATATTTCTCTAGCCTATTTGATAAATGGTATAAAATACAGACACTAAGAAAAACTTTAAGAACATTTAGGTAACTTTATTCCGAAACTGGGAAGACTGTTCCACGCATCTACAACTCTGTCCTTTCTAAATCTAAATTTATCCAACTAACAGAATATTTGCCCAACCCATTTTTCAACGCTACCCAAGCGATAAGCGTACGTAATAGAGCTGGTATAAACCTTGGTAATAAATACCGACAAGTTGGTTTAGAAAGACACGTAAGCAAACACTATAACATATTTATTAGAAAACGTTTCGGTCCTGGGACCTTGATCACTTCTAACATACAGAGGTAGAAAGACATTATATATATATAGGCGGAGAGTGAGATGTGACGCACGTGACCTGAGGAATGTCATAAGAACATAAGAATGGAGGAACACTGTAGAAGTGGAAAAAGACACTTATGTACAGTTCAGGACATTTATTAAAGGAAACGTTTCGCCACGAGTGGCTTCTTCAGTCCTAATACAGAGAAAACTAAGAAAACACACATATATATAGTGGCGGGAGTCAGGTGAGGTGACACATATATATAGTGACTCCCGCCACTATATATATGTGTGTTTTCTTAGTTTTCTCTGTATTAGGACTGAAGAAGCCACTCATGGCGAAACGTTTCCTTTAATAAATGTCCTGAACTGTACATAAGTGTCTTTTTCCACATCTTGTCGGTATCACCATACCATTTCCTCACACTGTAGAAGGCCTACTGGCCCATGCGAGGCAGGTCCTTATCAAAACAACCTCTGCCTATGATGAGGACGGGTAGACGATGAAATCATGTGACTCCTGTGAAATAACTCCCGTACCCCATGACACCAATCAAACCCAGCCCCTCCCACTCATATATTTGTCCAGTCTCATGTGACTCCTGTGAAATAACTCCCGTACCCCATGACACCAATCAAACCCAGCCCCTCCCACTCATATATTTGTCCAGTCTCATGTGACTCCTGTGAAATAACTCCCGTACCCCATGACACCAATCAAACCCAGCCCCTCCCACTCATATATTTGTCCAGTCTCTTCTTAAAGCTACCCAAGGTCCTAGCCCCTATCACCCCACTGGGAAGACTGTTCCACGCATCTACAACTCTGTAGATGAATGGTTCAGAGAACCGACATGTTGATAAATTAGACACATGTGCAACTCTTGGGTATCTTTATTGAGGAAACGTTTCGCCACACAGTGGCTTCATCAGTCCATACAAAGGAGAATCTTGAAGAACAGGAGGAGAATGAGGTAATCAGTCCCTCAACCTTGAGTTGATGTGGTCAGTCCATCAATCTTGAATAGAATCTACAACTCTGTTAGAAAACCAGTACTTACCTATGTCCTTTCTAAACAAGTGAATGTAGCTTAAGAGTCTTCAATCTTTCTTCACAAGGAAGATTTCTAATGCTATGTATTAATTTAGCCATCCTACGCTGAATGTTTTCTAACGAATTTATGTCCATTCTGTAATATGGAGACCAGAATTGAGCTGCATAATCTAGGTGAGGCCTTACTAATGATGTACTAATGATGGTGACCTATACTTAACTCAGTGGTGACCTGTGAACATCAAAATGGTATACAATACCGACAGGTTGGTAGTAAGACACATAGGCAACAGTTAGGAAACTTTATTCCGAAACGTTTCGCCTACACAGTAGGCTTCTTCAGTCGAATACAGAAAGTAGGCAGGAACAGTAGAGATGTGAAGACGATGTAATCAGTCCATCACCCTTGAAGTCGTAGAATTTGAGGTTGTCAGTCCCTCGGCCTGGAGAAGTTCAGTTCCATAGTCAGGAACTATCTGAAGATCAAGCAAGCAAACAAGTTCAGGTAAGATCCCAATGGGATGAGCGGGGAAGATGGGACAGATGAAGAATAGCTCTGGAGAGGAGTGTTCTTAGTCAGAGAAATAGAGCCAGGGCTTACCCAGCAGCTAAGGCGATCGTGGGGCAGACTTGAGAACAGGAATAGCAGGGACTGTTGCATTGGACTTGTGGTAGTTGAAGTCTTGAATCTTGAGTAGTTGGCAGCAGGCTAGGTCACATCAGAGGGTAGAACACATATGGGAGTTATAGGAGTAACTGAGGAGGCAGGTTAGCAATGGAGCCATTTTCGAACTTTTTGAAGCTGCTTCTAGATAGGTGGTATAGTTTAGCCTTGTTACTGAAGGTGAAACGTAGAGGCTTGATGAACTCAAGAACTTGGGTGAGTGAGAAGTGAAGCGGTGATTCACATGCATACTTGACTGTTCCAGCACCGAGGCTTTTGTAGAGTTCAGTACAGGTCATGGTGTCAGTATTTGAAGGAGAAGTGTAAAAGGTAAGGTTTTCCCATGAGGGTTTACTGGAGTCGTCGTTATCTTCCTCTTCTGGAGTGGATTCATTGGGAGAATCTACAATGGTGGTAGCCGGTGACTGAGGGTCGACAGGAGCAGCTGTAAGGTGTAATGGTTGTGTAACAGCAGGCTGGGAGAGGTGGGAGACGGTGGTTGAGGCAGCTTGATCAACGTTGTCAGCGGTGGAAGTGGTTATAGAAGTTGCAGGAGCAGTTGCTTGGGCAGGAGACAGGTCTGCAGGTGCAGTAAAGTTCAGGACGTTGGGAAGGATCTTGAGTATGTCTGCTGAAGGTGTGGAGTCCGGAAAATTGAAGGCAGGCATGTTGTTCAGACGGAATAGTTCGTTAATAGTGGTGTTGAAAGTGCCGGGGTTTGCTGCGTTTGCAAGGTGTGCATACACCATGCAGTACAGCACCTTTGAGGAATCTCCGTCTGGGAGTGGAGAGAGGGAGTTGCTGGGCGATGGTGCCTGTAGATTAGCGTGTAGAGTCTTGGTGGTGTCGGTTTGTGGTTTGGTTATTGCAGCGTGTGTCGGTGAATTGGGGGTGTTCTTCAGAACTTTAGTTTTCTTCAGTATGATTTCTTTCCTGATTGGGCACTTAGCTGCAAGGGTATGATGATTACCCTTGCAGTTTAGACAAGTTGGTGCTGTAGTAATGGTGCAGGATCTGAAATCGTGTCCATCATTCCCACATTTTGAACAAAACTTCTTATTCTTGATAGGGCAGTCCTTGGTGGTGTGTTTATAGGAGTAGCAGGTCCAGCAGTGGGAGATGTATGTGAAACGTTCTTGTTCTATATGACTAGCGTGGATGTGGTAATATGAGATGGCCAGACCGTCAGAGAGAGCTTGGGCAGCCATGGAGATGTCTGAAAATGTAATCTTTAGCATAGATGAGGCGTTAGGGATCTTGTAGATGCTGTCTACCGAGGCCCAGGTGTTTTGTTCCTCAATAGATGTCTTCAGTGCTTCAGTAGAGAGAGAGGTGACCATATTGTCCAGTCTTTTCACAAAGACCGAACGTTTCGACTTCAAGAATGGAGACGGGGATAGAGTGAAGTGTTGTGTTTGTAGGGTCCTGATTGAAGAGTCGTCCATAAGTTTTGATGCTTCCGTGTCGTCTGTGCAGACGACAATGAAGGAGTCCTTAAGAGAGTGGATTGCCGTAAATTTGACCTGCAGGCGAGTCTTAACGACAGTAGCTAAAGCTAACTTCGAGGAGTCATTTATTGCACCATTCACAGGCTTGATTTTCACACGATTCGACAGCATTGTGAAAAGGTCGAAGAGAGTTTTCTTGACTGTACGAATTTATGTCCATTCTGTAATATGGAGACCAGAATTGAGCTGCATAATCTAGGTGAGGCCTTACTAATGATGTACTAATGATGGTGACCTATACTTAACTCAGTGGTGACCTGTGAACATCAAAATGGTATACAATACCGACAGGTTGGTAGTAAGACACATAGGCAACAGTTAGGAAACTTTATTCCGAAACGTTTCGCCTACACAGTAGGCTTCTTCAGTCGAATACAGAAAGTAGGCAGGAACAGTAGAGATGTGAAGACGATGTAATCAGTCCATCACCCTTGAAGTCGTAGAATTTGAGGTTGTCAGTCCCTCGGCCTGGAGAAGTTCAGTTCCATAGTCAGGAACTATCTGAAGATCAAGCGACAGTGCGGAGACTTAAATACTGTCGGAAGGAGAGGTGCAGAGTAGTAGTAGTAGTAGTAGTGAGAGTGTAGCCACTGAGAGGTCAGGTCCCTCTCAGATCCAACAGTTCCCACTTGAAAAGGTTGTCTAAGGCGTTTTCTGTACCAAGAGGCCATGTGGTGACCTGTACTTAACTCAGTGGTGACCTGTACTTAACTCTGTGAAGAAGTGTCTTGTGTGCTCCCCGTGGACTGAACCAAGATGCCCTCCATCGAGCAACTTTACCAGCAACTTAAGGAAGAATTGAGGGTAGCGAAAATGGAGATACGGCCATTGACCGAGGAAAACAAGAGAATTCGTAGTAGTCCTCCTGTTTCGAGTCCTCAGGTCAAGAAGGGATCATGGTCAGTGGCTGGACAGCAGGGGACGACGAAGTTGACGATCAAGAAGACGAATGGAAAGCCAGAAACGATGAAGAAGAAAGAGACTGGTTTAGAAAGACACGTAAGCAAACACTATAACATATTTATTAGAAAACGTTTCGGTCCTGGGACCTTGATCACTTCTAACGTTAGATCACTTCTAGGTTAGAAGTGATCAAGGTCCCAGGACCAAAACGTTTTCTAATAAATATGTTATAGTGTTTGCTTACGTGTCTTTCTAAACCAACTTGTCGGTATTTATTACCAAGGTTTATACAAAGAAAGATTGCTGTGGAAATTCCTGTGGAAACCTCCAACGCATTCTCGGTGCTACCCGACGAATGTGAGTCGACTACTTGAAGGACAGGAGTAGGAGACAGAGGGTTTGCTTTCCTGGGGCTGGGAT